CTGTCCAGGTGAACATGTTTCATATAGATCAGTGGCAAATGAGAGATGCGTGTTTCTTTCTGAGCCACTGACACCCACCACTTTTCTCCTCTGAACCTAGATATATTCCTTTTTTAGACTTTTTTTTATGCCTATATGTTTTAATTAATTGACTCTCTGATTTGCCTCTAAATCGAAACTACATGCACATAGATGGAGTTCAGAAGATCATTTATCAGACTCCTCTTAACCTCTGTGGGCCTGAAACTAGTAGACATAGAAATACCAGCTTCATGAATGGTATTAAGCAGATTTGGACACGCCACTTGCCCTATAGCCAAATGGGCTGTCTAACATTCTGATAAGTCACCACTGGAGCAGAAAGAGTCACAGGTACAGGTGCGCCTCCATATCCTGTCCTGGGGAAGCTTAGCACATAGAAACCAAGTACACTTGTTTTGTGGGCGAGCCAAGCAGAGAGAGGGCCTGAGCTACACCTGTTCATTTCCCCCTCCCAGGTTCTCTATCCTGCCCCTCTATAGAACTGGGAGAAATTGATTGCCTCCTTCCCCCACCCTACTCCCCCCACCAAAACACACACACATACACACACACACACACACACTAATTTAAACAAATAACGCTAGAGGCAACCATTTTAAATGTTTAGCTCTAGTCTATTTTTCTCCTCCTTGAAACTTTTTAAGATCTTCTCTTTATTCCTGATATTTAAAGATTTACAATGATCTGCCCCCACACCTAGATCTTTTCTTATTCTGTATGCAGATTCCCAGCAGAATCTTCCTTTTGGTGATAGATGCCTACCTTCCAGTTTTCCTGTCAAAGAAATAAAGCAACATTCTCAGTTTTTTTCTTCCACTTTTTATATTCTCCTTCTGGACAGTCTTTCTACCCTCTGTGTTGATTCTCTGAAAAGGTATCTTTTTTGTTCTCCTTTTACCCTTCTCTTTTTGTCTTTTCCTACTTCCTGGGATATTTCTGCCGACTTATATTCTAATTGGAGTATGGCTGTTTTTTCACGATAATTTTGAGTTTTAGTCCACTTGTTCTCTTCATCCTTTTTTCTGGATGGAACATGTTCCTTGAGATCTTTGATGATACAATTTACAGAGTTCAGTAGTCATGTACCCCATTACCCTGCATTGTCTCAAGTTTCTTCTGTTTGCTTTCTTCATTTTTTCTTCTCATTTTGTGTGTGTGTGTGTGTGTGTGTGTGTGTGAGTGTGTGTGTATCTTTTCTATAGAACTCATACTTCAAATGTATGCTGATCATTCGCTGTTATTTCTTATTCAAGAGTGGCAATTGGAAGTTTTATATGGGGAAAAGGCTTATTGTTTGTTAAAATTACTGTAGGGTGAAAGCCAAGTTTTTCATTAGGGAGTTCCTTATGTTAATACATGAGTTTTTTTGCCTCAGAAATTCTGTTTCTCCAGAGAAAAATATTCTTTAGCAAGTTCTAATATTAAGATCAGGTATAGGAGAATGAAGGAAGGAAACTAGAAATGTTCTTCAGTTTGGAAACGTGAACTTAATTTTGAAATTTTCAGCCCCAAACATCTCTTCTGGCTTTAGTTGGGCCCTAAATCCCTGAATATCCAGTCTAGCCCCAATAAAGCTACCTCCTTTCAGTTGTCTGGTAGAAGCGGGCTGGGCAGTTACTTGCATATCCATCATTCCATAGACTTAGGCTTAATCAGTTCTCCTGGTTTCAGCTTTGAATCTTATCTACCCATTTTGTGATGCCTGGTTTTCTCCAAGTTGTGAACTTTCCATGGCTTCTACGACAATTTGTGCCTTTTAATTGAGATTACTTATATCATTTATATGTAGTGTGGTTACAAATATGTTTGGGTAAAGCTCTCCTCTTGCTGTTTGTTTTCCATGTATTCCATCTCTGTTCCTTTTTTCCTTCTACTCCTGCCACCTCTAGGATTATGTATTTTTTTAAGTATTTCATCTTATAAATCCTTTATTGGGTTATCAGGTATTATTCTTCCATGTGTTATTTTAATGGTTCCTTTGGGGTTTATCGCATAGAGACATACATTATTTCGTCATGCTTCATTGTATTGTGCTTCACAGATACTGCATTTTTCACAAATTAAAGGTTTTTGCCAACCCTGTTTCACGCAAGTCTATTGATTTCATTTTCCAATAGCATGTGCTCGCCAATTTGCATCTCTTGTGTCACATTTTGGTAATTCTAGTAATATTTTAAACTTTTTCATTATTGTATCTGTTACAGTGATCTTTGATCGGGGATCTTTGCTGTTACTGTTGTAATTGAGGGCGCCACAAACTGTGCCCATATAAGATGATTAAATTTAATTGATGAACATCGTGCATGTTCTGACTGCTCCGCCAACCTACCGTTCCCCATTTCTCTCCCTCTCCTTGGTCCTCCCTATTCTCTGCAGCACAAAAATATTGAGATGAGGCCAATTAATAACCCGACAATGGGCCTCTAAGTGTTCAAGTAATGGGAAGAATTGCATTTCCCTCACTTTAAATAAAAAACTAAAAATGTTTAAGGTTAGTGAGGAAGCCCTGTCAAAAGCTTAAATAGGCTGAGGGTTAAGCTTCTTGCACCAAACATTCAGTCTCGTTGTGAATGTAAAGGAAAAGTAAAGGAAACTAAAAGTGCTAACCAGTGAACACACAAATGATAAGGAAGCAAAACAGCCATATTGCTGATATGGAGAAAGTTTGAGTAGTCTGGGTAGAAGATCAAACCAGCCACAGCATTCCCTTATGCAAAAGCCTAATGCAGAGCAAGGCCGTAAGTCTCTTCAGTTCTATAATGGCAAAGAGGGGTAAGGAAGCTTCCAAAGAAAAGTTTGAAGCTGGAGGTTGGTTCACAAAATTTAAGAAAAGTCTTCATAACAAAAGTGTAAGGTGAAGCAGCAAGGGCTGTTGTAGAAGCTGTTGCAAGTTATATGTTAATATAAATAGCACATTAACAAGAGTTTGCAAGAGATTGATTCCAATCCTCATGGATAACTTTGAGGGGTTCAAGACTTCAGTGGAGGAGGGAACTGCAGATGTGATGGAAATAGCAACAGAACTAGAATTTGAAGAGGAGCCTGAAGATGTGACTGAACTGCTACAATCACATGATAAAACTTGAACAGATGAGGAATTCCTTTTTATGAATGAGCAAAGTGGTTTCTTGAGATGGAATCTACTCCTGGTGACAATGCTGGGAACATGTTGAAATGACAACAAAGGTTTTAGAATAGTACATAAACTTAGTTGATAAGGCAGCAGCAGGGTTTGAGAGGATTGATTCCAATTTTGAAAAAAGTTCTGTGGGTAAAATGCTATCAAGCAGCATCTGATCCTACAGAGAAATCTTTCCTAAAAGAAAGAGTCAATCAATGTGGTAAGCTTCATTGTAGTCTTATTTTAAGAAATTGCCACAGGCCAGGCACAGTGGCTCACGCCTGTAATCCTAGCTCTCTGGGAGGCTGAGGTGGGCAGATCGCTCAAGGTCAGGAGTTCAAGAACAGCCTGAGCAAGAGTGTGACCCGTCTCTCCTAAAAATAGAAAGAAATTATCTGGACAACTAAAAATATATATAGAAAAAATTAGCTGGGCATGGTGGCACATGCCTATAGTCCCAGCTACTCGGGAGGCTGAGGCAGGAGGATTGCTTGAGCCCAGGAATTTGAGGTTGCTGTGAGCTAGGCTGATGCCACAGCACTCTAGCCTGGGTAATCAAGTGAGACTCTGTCTCAAAAAAAAAAAAAAAAAAAAAGAAACTGCCACAGCCACCCCAGCCTTAAGCAACCACCACCCTGACCTATCAGCAGCCATCAACATCGAGGCAAGACCTTCCACCAGCAAAAAGATTGAGTCCCTGAAGGCTCAGATTGTTCGCATTTTTGCACAATAAAGTACTTTTTAATTCAGGTATGTACGTTGCCATTTTTAGGCAAAATGCTATTGCATACTTAATAGACTACAGTATAAACATAACTTGTATGTGCACTGGGAAAAAATTTATTTGACTTGCTTTCCTGCAATATTCGCTTTATAACAGTGATCTGAAACCAAACTGGCAATATCTCCCAGGTATGCCTGTACTTATATACTTAGTTATACTATACCTAGATATACAATACCTATGTTAGCACAATCTTATCTTCACCTGATAGTATACCATTTACTACAGTCTATCTTCAGGTGATACTGTATCACTTACACACAATACGCCCATTTCTCCAGCCTTGGGTAGTTTTACAGGCAGGTACTGATCAGTACTCGGCTGAATAATCAGGGAGACTCCTTCTGCAGATAGATCTCCAGTTTGGCCTCTGCACAGATCTCTCCTTTCTGGTTTTTGGCCCTTTGAATTTTTGGCCTCCCTGGATTTCCATCTCTGTCCTTCATCACAGGGAGACCTCTAGGATCTGCCTGGTTTTCTTCCCTGAGCTACATCCTGGAGATTCTCTTTAGGCATTAAACTGGGGCAATTGTATGGCTCACATTAGTTGTTTTCCATCTGTCAGGAATCACTGTCCTCTGTTGCTATGAACAATGTCTTCATAACCATTGTTTCAGGTATTTTATCTTTTTTTTTTTTTTTTTAGTTGTTTCAGGTGAAAGTATAAATCTAGTTCCCTGTTGCTCCATTATGGCTGAAAGCAAGATACACTTTCATTCATAAAAGAATGTGTTATTTCATGTTCTCTGATGCCTCCTTTTCTTTCCCTTTGTTCTTGTGGGTTTATGCTCTTTTTTTTAATTGCCTTACTATCATTTTAGTGGTATTTCAGGAGACAGAGGTAGATTCTGCAGAGAGAATTGATGATGGATTGAGCACATGCATTTACATCTCCATAATACTTTTCACTGTATAACTAAGACTGACATTTGAGGCCAGAGCTGACATTTGAGATATGTTTTGCTATTTCTAGTATTAATGATAGGTTTAGTAGAGAAGGATTAATGAACATATTTTGCCAGCTGTTAACCCTGATTGAATTATTTTTTACAGGTATAAAAATACTTTTATAAGTTGCACACAGATCTTGGAACATATGACAAATCCAATTTGTGTTGACTGGTGAGCAAGAATCACTTCTATCCCCTTTTCGTATCTCTGTGTATGTGATCCTGAAGGCCTAGCATGTGGCCTAGGGCAAGTTGAGGACATGTGTCCCATTGTCACACTAATTAATTTAATAAGCACCAGTTTCCTGCTATATTTTTGTAAGCACTGGTGACTATACAACAGTGAATGAGGCATAGTCTTTATCTTCAAGTTCTTCATAGTTTCAATGCTAAGGTCATGTTAGATGAGCAGATTATACATTACATGCCTATGGCCCAAGCTAACATTTATCGAATGGTGCTAGAGACAGCTATAAGATGATGCTCCTGGGATACAGAGAAAGGACCAGCCTAGAGTATCGTGCTGACAGTCTGGAAAAGAGGACTCACAGACGGATTCTCAAAGCACAAATCAGGGCTAGGAAAGGTGGGAGAAGGTTTGCAGGCAGAAGGCAGTGCATTTGCCGAGAAGGAGAGCTGTGAAGAACAGCCTAAGCTGCCAGCCGCAGTGTGGGAGCTGCCGGGGCAGGCAGGAGAGCCGGGCAGAGGCGGCCTTGCTCACGGGGAAGAAGGCAGTGATTCCCTGGGAAAGGTAACTCCTGTGAACTTTAACAAACGTTGTAGAAAGCTGTCATATTTGTAATCTAAGAAATGGTGCTGGACCCACGGTTAGCAATGCATGAAGAAATGAATAAGAAATGGAAACTAAGAAAAGGAGCATTTTCCTTCTTTTAAAACCTAAAAAGAAAACCAAGATCATTTATGTGATTTTGGTGATTGGAAAGAGGTTGTCAGTTTCCCATATTTCATTGATCCACATGCTAACTTCACTGATTATATTTTCAGTAATATCAATGTTAACTATGTTTTCCTAAAATCAAATTATTTTTATACTTAAATATATTTAGCTTTATCCTAAGCAATAATTTCTATGAAAGCATACATTTAAGTATCACTTATGCTTTTCTAATACACATTAAAATAAATGCATAACCATTAAAAAATAATAATAGTAATAATCTTTAAGTCTCTTATGCATGCAGGGCTGTAATACAGTTCAAACAGTCCTCTGCCAAAACCCTGAAGTCCTTATTTTAAAAGCTTGAGATGATCAGGCATTCCTTGCACTAATTTTAATCTTATTTAATGTATTTTTGATTGAGCCAGTATTCATGGTGACCAAAATTTGAAATTTCCCACGAGTCATTTCTACATGTCTATCTCAGAACAGTTCTCCTTGTGGAGAACAAGGTTGGAATTGTCTGAGTTAGTTTGTGACGTGACTTTCTACTATAAGAAATGTTTTGAAATTTTTTAAACTTTAAATGGTACATATTCATCATTCACAATTATATGAATCTGGAATAGATTAAAAACCTGAGTGATGCTCTAAGCAATGTTATCCTGTTGATAAGTCTAATATTTGTTCCTGAGTTGCTAAAAAGAAATTAGGTGATTATTCTAATAGCATCTAATTTGGTCCTTAATTACCTCATCTTGACTATTCACAACTAAGTATATCTGAATGTAACATAAACATTAGTATGAGATGTTATTTTTCCATTCTGAGCTATTTTTCAGGCAGGTTTATTATTTCATAAGCAAAAAGGATGATTTACTATTGAATCCCAAACCCTAAAATATCAACTCCTAGAAAAATATTTGTTTCTAATTAGGGTCCTTCGATACAGAATTACAGTCTCTGATGCAATGTAACACAGCCTATAATAAATATTGACTGAATGATATAATGACATATTTCTTGAGAGTGTTTGGCAAATTGTCAAATAAGGATGATAGAAATTTGTATGTTTAAGATGTGTACATTTATTAAAGATGAGCAACTTCAGTGGATGCATTGCATTGCAATTTTCAGTCATTTACTGATCCAAACTTTGAAAATCATATAAAAAGTGTTATAGGAAGAACAAATTACAAAGACTTTCACACCCATGCCAAAGTTGAGATTTCCTTGCAGGCAACAGCTGTGACAGTGCCCCTAGAGACCTTTGTTAATAGTATGAAATCTCAAACTTTGCTTTGTAGTTAGTCGCTCTTGCGAAAACTATGTGCCTAGCAGATAATAGTGTTCTGGTCACTCGCAATGGCAGTGTAAAAATAAATTGAAATGGAGATTTCACTGAACACAGGTACATTTTCTAAATGTCTAGAAACTAAGTGTCTAAGGACATTTGCTGATATAGAAAGGGTGAAGACTATAACTGTTTCAGCCAAAGATTGTCCATGCATGAAAACATTCTGTGTTAAATGAGAAAATGCAAGTTAAGTGCTGAGCATATAACAAGTGCTCAATAAATATGATGTGTACATACACACGTATTAGGGAATTAGAGTAACTCAGATGTATCAGATCTGTGTATAAATCATGCTTTGTGAAGAAGAAAACCTTTTCTCACAATTTGAAATTGAATAGGAAATGAACTCTTTTGGCTCCCCTCTCCTATAGAGCCCACACTCATGCCAGGGGAATGTAGTCTCTGTTTTAGGCAAGTGCTTGGTGAGGAATACTTACTAGAGAGCTCATGAATGGGTTATAATCCAGTACTTATTTCTGAGGGTTGCGTTTTGAAATGACAATGACATTCTCCCCTTGAAGCTCTGTTGCTTATGCACAGCAGGCTCCCCAGCATTCCACAGAAGCCTGCTTAGCTCATACTGTACCTGAGCATTGCACTAGTCACATCAGCCTATTCCTAGGCCGTTACACATGCTAGAACAACGATTCTCGGGGGAAATCCACTCATCTGTGTTCCTGGAATACTAGGAATACATGTGACCTCCCCTCTATGGCAATGGCAGCCTCTCCTCCAAGATATTCTGGGAAGAGGGGACTCCACAGCTAGGTCACGGTGGCTGTTCCTTGGATATGGAACAGTGGAAGTTTCTGTCCTCCTGCCACCAGCAGCTCACAGGATGCTCTGCAGCACGACGGCTGCCTGCCCGTTCATGTGCCCTTTCCTTTGATTGGAGAGATCCAGAGATTGCCCCTACTCCTCTTTATTCTCGGGTTCCATTCACTCCAGCTGGGAGCTTCTCTTTCCCTAGCCCAAAGTAGGAGGACAGCACTTCTTAGCTTCTCTCTTCTTTGGAATTAGGCAAATGTACAAGAGTGATAAGCATGAGTTTTTTTGTGCATCCAAAGATCGAGTGTAAGATCTACTCATATTCTGGAGGAAAGTTTATACTCATGAGTCTTCTGGACTTTTCGTTTTAGAAGCAGGAGGCTTGGCATGAGATGAGTAATAGGAAAAAAAAAAAAAAGCACAGCAAATGTGATGGCCTAGTGTAGGTTGTAATATTTTGGATTAATCCTGGGGCTGCAGCCAGCGGCCTCTTTGCCACAGCACCAAAGGCAGGGAATTGAGTTGAAAGGAAGATTCATTCAGTGAGTGAAGCCAGGGGCTGATGATTACCAAGAAGTTGTCAGCACACTTTGTAGAGTAAGAAATGAGGACAGGAAAGCCCTCCTAGTGGTGTCTGAAAGATGAGAAGGAAGGAAGGTCCTTAGGAAATGTCGGTTGAAAAGCAAGGAAGGTCCCCTATAGATGGGCATCTGGGTGGGGTCTGACTGCCATAGGGACAGAGGAGGGCCACCCTACCCCATAACTACACAGAACACGTATCTGGAGCAAATTCTTCTAGGGTGACAATTCACATGGCCTTGCTGCTGTGGGTATACACATGGTGGAAACCGTCCACATCATGGGCACAGGGTTACTATTTAGTACTGTTCATTCAAGCAAAATGTGACAGGATATCTGTTTCTGTTATAAAAACCTTCTTCCTCACCAGTAAAACTTAACACCTTGAATAATAATCAGGATAAGTTGTATCCCTCTCCCTATTTTTGAGTATTAAGTTCTTTGTGTGCAACTGATAAGACAACTTCTGTAACGCTCTGGCTTAAGGGACGCTGAGGTCAGAGGTACAGGGGTTCTGTCTTCAAGGGGGATGGCTAGTGAAGGACCTCCAGGTAGACCATTACAGGAGCATCCTGTGACAGAGAGATGCACAGAGTACCCAGTGAGCACAGGGGAGGTCCTGGGGAGAAGAGTTGACAGAAAAGGCTTCCACCTGAATTTACTTTGAAGCATGAGGAGTTAGCCCGTATTAGTGAAATGAAGGTAACAAAGGACAGTCCAAGCAATGGGAACAGCATGATTCCTTTCACTGCAAAACTGTGCAGTAAGATTGGGCAACTGCATATTGTGTCATAAGTCTGGCACATCTGCTAGGCATCAGTAGATGAGGAGACACCAGGCAAGGACCAGAGGAGTCTATAAAAATAAATGTGTGTGGATCATTTTACACCAAGGTGAAAGTCAGTTTGCATATTTTATAATTTCTCTTCCAGATTATTTTTAAAGTTGAGGCACTTCCTCATGTCTCTTAGATTGCTTAGATGGAACCCCAATTTTACTTATAATCTCCAGCTTTGAAAACTTCTAAATAGGGTAGTTTATAGAAGGTACAGTGAATACATTGAATTGAATCAGACTGCCCTTAGCTATCCTACCGGAGATTAATTATAAAGGACTGGCTTTGTTTGCTATTTTTCAGGTACCATGATCAACAGGATGTTACTAGCAACTTCCTTGGAGCAATGTGGTTGATATCAATAACTTTTCTCTCCATTGGTTATGGGGACATGGTACCTAACACATACTGTGGGAAAGGAGTCTGTTTGCTTACTGGAATTATGGTAAGTGTCTTTTTACTTCACATCTCTTATGTTTACTCTCAAGAAGGTACTTCATGTGCATAAGTCATTGTAAGCTACTCATTTTCCCAAAAGCAGGAAATCAGTACAAAAATATCAGTTTTATGTTGGGAAAGAACATCTTACCGTTTTCATCTTAATTCTTCTCATCATGAAGTTCTGTTGAAGAGGTAGAACTGCTCCATTGCTTTTTGTGGGCCATGCACTAATTTGATTAACTAATTTGATCTTAGAGCTTTGACTTCAGAGTAAGAAATTTCTTTTAAGTCTGAGTTCCGCCATTTCCTACGAGCTGTGCAAACTTGAATACATTTCTCTGGCACTTACTTACCTTATTTGTAAAATGTGGACCATAATAACTATCGTGAAATGTGTTGAAGGGTTGGAAACTTACATTATCAATTACTTTATCAATTAAAGTATTATTTATTCTTTTAATAAAGAATTGTTCTCTTGATTGCCAGGCACTGGCCTAGGTAATAGGAATACCTCAGAGGAAGACAGAAACTCTCACTGTCCTGCTTCAAGGTGCTCGCAGGGGAAGACCTACATTTAAAACATATTTAGCAAATGATTATTAATTACATTTGTGTAATTAGTAAAGCTTCTGACCTGTTTTGGGGACTGGGCAAGAGGGATGGGATCTACACAGAGAAATCGTCACTGGAAAATTGATTTTTAAGCTGAGGTGAGAAGGATGAGTAGCTGGGGAAGGAGAGAAGAACAGCATTCCAGGAAGAGGAAATGGTTTGTTTATTTGAAGGCAGTGAGGCAAGGAGGAGCTCGGTGCACTTGAGCTAAGTCACTGGGCCAGGAGCGCACAGAGCACAGGGGTAAAGAGGCCAGATCTCGTGGAACACTTTAGAAAGGTCTGCTGCTGATGGTGACGTGGGTTGTTCTTCTTGGGTGGCGGACAGGCTCAGACACTTCTTTGACCCTCACATTTTGCAATCTAGCCAGGATTGCTTTGCTCCATTTGCTTTAGGTATGCAAAATGGAAGGCTAGTAAGTTATGATTGTAATGTGTTGTGAACTTATGTTTCAGCCAGAGGTAGTTCAAATTGACAATGCACCATTTTTAATGACCTAGGTTTGTCTTCATTCCTTATCTTCTTCATATAGTTTGGTTACGGTGAAGAGTTATCTAGATGCTTATTTCCCATGTACATGAACCAGTGCTGTGAGCTCTACAGTCTGGAAGGTCCCAGAATTTCTAAAATTCAGCAACCCCATTCAACACTTCTGCTGTCTTCATAGGTTGGCAGAGAGAGCACAGGCTCACCATTTGAGGGTCTTTGAGTAGTGGCCAGTGTAGAGTGCACACCCCCACAGCAGCTGCCTAGGAAGATTGTTCCAAGAGTCACAAGTAACTGGAAGGACTGAATGCCCATGGCACAGATAGGCAGGGAACATTCTTCTCCCTCTTGGTAGTATTCAGCTGGGCTAAGGCAGCTTGCTGTGAAAATGAAATCCAGAGCCAATTTTAATATTGCTAATAGTAACAGGATGATCATTTCAAGTCCCAATTATGGAAAATTTAATGTAGAGGCATAATTTAACATTATTTGCTTGTAAAAGAAAAATATAGTTTTGTGAACCTTTTCTTTTTCATTATATAGTACTTGGTATGCTCCATTATATGTTTACTATTGGATCATTTCCCCTTTTTCCTCAAATAATAGCATTTTATTATATAGTGGAGTGCTTTGGGAAATGAAATTTGCATGGAAGTATTTTTGGAAGCCACCATAACAAGCCCACGAGGGACATGAAAGATGCTATTTATAAAACCAGAACTGGTAGTTGCAGTCCTTCCCCCAGTGTTTCTTGGAAACAACTTCCTTAGTGTTCCTTTTTGGCAAGATGTACCCCCTTTTATTTTTGCATCGGGCATGACTCAAGGGTCATGCAAATAGGCTCATTTGCCATGGAATCAGAGCCAAATTTGAGGTTAACCTTGCCTGGACGTTGTGATACGTTTATCTTTCCTGGATAATTCTTTATTCCTAATGTCTTAAGAACTGCTCCTTCAAAGTCTCATCAGATTTTTTATTTACCTGCTTTAACTGCTGCTTTGTTTAGGTTTCACTATTGATCTTAATGCAGAAGTTATGAGTACCTTTTGATCTATACGGACACAAATATGTTATAGGTAATGGAATTTCCAATGACTTTGACCCTCCATTCTTAGAGTGAGGAACTCCATTCTTCTCCCTCATAAGGATCAGAGTTCTTAATTGTCCTGATCAAAAATAGTTTACTTGCATGTAGAGAAATTCAGTAATCTTTGAGTGATCTATTTGAAATACTGTATAGAGTTAGATTATCTCTACACCTCTCGGGCAAGCAGATTCCCATGGAGTCAGGCTACAGGGCTGTCTTCTTGGTGTTAGCATCTGGTAGTTGGTTCTCCTGCCAGTTCCTTAGGGATCAAGAGCCTATGGATGGAAGTTACCTAGACACTGGCATAGAGACTGTTTGGCTGGCAATATAGATTCCTAAAAGAAAACACATATTTTTCATAGTACATATTTTACGGAAAAAAAAATGTGTTTGTTTTGTTAGACAAATTTTGTTTGCTTTTGTTTTCTTTTGATTTTAGGAAGTTGAAGTGTCAGTTTGTCACTTTGGCGCTACCTTAGCCAGAGAGATAGCTTGTTTACTTGTTTTTATCTCAGGTGGTTATTTGCCTGTTCTCCGGTAGACTTTTGCAATGCATGTGTAGATAAAATGCACATAGTCATATTTCCTATGAGTCATTTCTCTGTCTCTCTCGCCCTCCCTCTGGCCTTTAATAAACTGTGAAAAAGAAATGCAATTTACAACACTCTTGAGAGAGCACAGGGTCATCCCTGAATCATCTTGTATATTATCTCTGAAGTACTATGTTTCTTTGTGTTCTTTCATATTTGAATTTTCTTATTCTTGTGTTTATGAAATTATGATAGAATTGATACTTTTATGTGGCTTCTTTACATTTTTAAGTAAAGTGGTTGATCTAAATGCTAACACTTATAAAGAGTTCCCATTTCAAAAATGTACACAAAGGGAAATTAGCACTGCTTGTTTTCTTCATGAAGCTGATTGAAACTAATGCATTATTTCATGCTGTTATTTTAGATGTTCACATTTCATTATTCAAAACCCAAAATTAAGCTGTTGTTTAGAATTTTTTAAATTGCTAGATTTGTATAATGAGTGAAGTTTTGGGAAGCCAAGGACATTAGATTAAGATTAACCTACAGTGCTCTAGGCAGAAATATCTCATTAAACCATGAAGAGAGACGGTTTTCTATAATATTTCTAAGAGAGAAACAAATGGCATTATTAACAAATAATCTCCCTTTGCTTGAATTGTAAACTGAATCCAAGACAATTCTAAAAACTTTTTTTGTAATGTTTAGGTTGTGCTTACAATGTTGCACATATATAATTGTGGAACTACTAACACAAGGAGATACTAGATACCGACATTTTTTAACAAGAATTCCAATGTGATGGACCGAACAAGTCAAACAAAGTCTCTTTTACACAAACCTATATAGAAATTAAAACCTGCTGGCCAGGTGCAATGGCTCATGTCTGTAATCCCAGCCCTTTAGGAGGCAGGAGGATTAATGAAGCCAGGAATTGAGGCTAGAGTATGCTATGACCATGCCTCTGTATTCAGCCTAGGTGACAGAGTGAGGCCCTGTGTCCAAAAAGAGGGGGGGAAAAAAAGCTTGAGAGAAAAAGATCTCTTCCTCTCTCCTGGATATTATTTTTAAAACATAACATCATAAGATTATTGCCTAATAGAAAAAAGTCACTCATTACCTTTTAAAAGGAAAACATTAAGGTTGTAATTTCTTATTTTCTCTTTATTCTTCTACCCTTCCTTAATTGGAGGAAGTGTAAGGACCTGAGTATTTACTATTTTGAATGTCATGATAACCAATGGAATGAATTCTAAATGGCTTTGGACTTTTGGTTGAAGGTGGTAGGCAAATAACAACGTGAGATGATAGCACCTGTCTTAGACTTTTTGTCAACACCAGCTAGTATTTTAGTATCTCCAATTTTACAACTGAAAAAGTAATTGTTTTACTTAGTATTTTAAAAAGTTATCCTGTCTACCATTTTATATTTATAAAAATAGATATAACATCCTGAAAGTGATGAGTTTTCCCTTAACTATGAATATAGAGAATTGTTTCAAGAGTGGAAAATAGCTTCATGGGTAAGGGTATCTCTCATCTTACACAAAAATGAAGGGCATACATTTGTAACTTTTGCATCTCTGTGTAAAAATATGGCAGCTCTTCTTGACCCTTTGACTATAGATGACTGAATTTTTGGCATAATTATCTTTAAACATGGAGTAATAAGTGGTTCTCTAATAATGATCAAAAAACCCCTAGACTTTGACAAAGTCTAGCATGCATCCCTTAACAAAAGTTTGCTTAACAAAAGTCACTTCAGAGTGTGATTTAGGTTTGTTTCTTCCATCCCGACGGTAATTCTGTATAAACAAAAGCAGTGCATAAATATATTCCAGTTCATAACAATTTGAAAATCCCCACACTAATTAATTTTTTAAATTTTACGCAGGAAACAACAACAAAAATCCAATTCAGAATGGAAGCTTTTATATTACCTTGCCTTTTCTTAAGATAAGAACATGTGATAATAATTCTGTCAGCATTAAATTTGCCCTGTGTTGAGGAGTCTTGATTTAACATCACAGGGTGACTCAGTCAGTTGTCAGAGTTAAATAGTTCCACCCTCAAGGGCAGTGACACTACCCTGTTAAGGCAGTCAGAGGGTGTTCCCAACCAGCAATGAATTAGCTAGAGCTCATGAAGAGATGGACTAGCATGAAAGAGGCCTAAAGCTAAGGTCCGATTACATTCCTGCTATTTTCTCTATTTCCACTTGAGGATTTGTTTTCCCCTGCCAGTGGACATAGAAATCCTGAGAAACTGGGATGAAACCATTCCTTG